ACCAGGAGGAAGGCGCGACTTGAGCCTTGCAGGAGGAAAGGAAGGGGGCGGCGGCGCGGGGGGGGAGGCAGTCAGGGTTAAGGCCGAGTGCAAGGGAGCCATCTGTGCTTAGGAGCTCTAGCGGAGAACTGCTCGCCCAGGTTGGCTTCGCGCTGATGGGGAAACTTCTTTCGGCCCCAGATTGTTGGGCCGAATCCAGCCGAGGCTGATAATCATCGCAATCTATTACCATCGGACCAATTTTTAATGGACAACGCGGAGTTATATTTTGGAATTTCCTAATGGGTTTCCCCAGCTAGCAGGCGCTTGCACTGCGGAAAACTGGCTGTTGGCACTGTTAGTAGCGGCGGCAATAAAAAAAGCAACCGTTGAACCATTATCTTCTCCTTTCAGGGCTATGTTTTTTTCCCCTTTTCCAAGACTTTTGTCCAGTTACCAGGGAGGGCATGGTTGCAACACAAGAAGGTCTCCCTAGCACTTTACAGCTGTGTTGTAACAGGAGAAAGGGCAAGCGTGTTGCAACTAGGTTTCCCAGCTTGGTTGTTTGCACTGGTAGGCGCTAGGCAGGTAAGTTAGACGTTTAGGTGCACTGTTTAAGCTGCTCTGAGGAGGATCTAACCGCACATTTTGAACTGAGAGCTATGCATGTGGAATTACTAGTTGCGGTTGCCATCAAAATAACCTAACAAGCAAAGCTTATAGGGATGTCAGGAGATGCTCAAGGACGTCAAAGCTCACGTCGCTGCCTGCTCAGCCCGGCAGAGAAGCGCTTTGCGTTTAGAACTGCACACGTTATGAAGAATGTGCCAAAATGAAGCAAAATCCAAGCCCACATGTTAATTCAGGAGGTCTGAATCGTTATCAGCTATCCTGGGAAGCCATCTAGTGGTAAAAACAAGAATTACTGAAAAAATGACGAATCTGAAAGGCGTTCTCAGGCTTCTTCACATTCCTCCAACTTCTTTACGTTCTGTAGCTACTAAAGGAAAACTGTGAACTTTGGGGTGTGAGTCTAAGCACCTATACACAGGTAGCCAAGTTATATTACACAAACCAGTAGAAGTGGTTTAGGAAGGTAAACCCCTCTGAAAATAAATTAGACGTTATGTTTCAGAATCAAACAAAAACTCCTGAAAACAGCCATAGTTCACAGTGGCCATAGGCTAACAGAGGTTATCTGCTTACAAAAAAAAGAGCAACTGAGTTTCTGGTACCATTACACGTGGTTCTTTTAACCCCAAAAATGAACGCTATCTAAATCCCTTGCATTCCAGCTTTGTTAAAACTTCCACTTCAGTCTTCAGAGAAAATAAAGTAACATTTATGAGAAACTCGCAGAGGTCTTACCTGTAAACGCCAGGTTACCTCACACGAAACAGGCCAGATGACTGTCACTGCATCAGCACGCAAGCAACGCTGCAAGGGGTGTTCTGGGGGGAGAGAAAAAGTCGAAGCACTCTAATCGGAAACTCTAAGTCAATGTGTCTATTTTCAGAATCAGGTAGTATCCTTAACTTAGCCGTATCTGAAATAACCAGAGCGCAGAGAATTTCCTCTGCTGCTTGGCAGCATTTAGCACCTCCGTGTGTTTTTACAGTAATACCTTTAGAAATGGAGCTGAGGGAGGCACCACCTGGCATTACAATTTTCGTCTCAGTCCAAAAACTCCGAAGGGGAGAGAGAAATTACACAGAGAGCCTAGTGTCTGGTTTAAACAAGAATGACTCAGTGTCTGGACTGGGAGCAAGCATAACAACTTTCTGGTACAGAAAGGGGTAGTGTTAAAAAATGAAGGGATATGAAGTTTGTCAAAGTAAATTTGATTTTTGATTCGTTCTTAGTTCGTTCTGTTTTGATGCATAAATCTCCATAGGCACATTTAAAATACAAAAGTCAATAATACTACACACACTGCTTATTTGTTATTCAAATTAAAGGACATTAATTATTAATTAAAAGCGTGCAGTTCCTTTGGTGCCAATGGGATTAGTCTTGCGAATATTTATTTCATATACCTGTTTCTAACTTGAATAATGTTCTAAGAGGTACGGGAGGTGCTATTTCCATTCATTATGATGTTGGTTTATTGAACATTGTGAAAATTTTATACAAAATCTGAAGTAAAAAGACAGTTCTAGATATTTAAAATGAAGTATTTTCCTAATGCGCTCTTCACATTTCAGTGAAAGCATGAACTATATTCTTCTGTTTTAGATTTATCGTGAAGCACTTACTTACAACCAGAAACTGCCAGTTTTTTCAAGTGCACAAAAGCAAGAAAGAAAAGCAGACTTAGAGTAGAACTGAAGTGACTGCATCTTGCCTGTAAGGCATATGGTGAAAAAATATGCAAATAAGTTACTTTTACAATTCACCTAATCCAACTGAAAAATCAAATAGCTTTAAATTCTAAGTGTTCTACATAGAACTCTGAGAACAGTTGAGATTTATCCCTTTCACCTGCAGTTCACTCCAGAAAGTGGCAAAAAACCCAGTATTCTGAGATTTCATCTGATTGTTGTATATCTGTTACACTCTTGCTCGGCAAGAGATCTTATTCCAAACCGTCACCTTTACAAAACCAACCTGGGCTTTTGTTCAAAAAGTTCATATTTGTTAATGAAACCTTCTAAACTATACCTTCATTTAAGTTTGATTATCCAAATTGCTTTCAGGAACTGCTTATAGGTGCAAATGGACACTTGGTACCTCTGTTGATAACAAGGATCGATCCTATCTTACCATCACAGCAGTAGTTGCTAATTATAACTTAAACATTGTCCGAAAATGAATCCCTTCCACAATTCTGTGTTTTCAACTTTAAAAAACAAAACAAAACAAAACAAAACCAAATATATCTAGTACATTGGTAAGGCAGATGGGAAAAATCTCTGAACACAGAGCAGCATTGTCACATACGGGAAAATCTGTGTTACCAGAGTGTCAAGTAGGACCAGTTTTTTACATCAGCAGGAGATGCCTGACCATAGGCAATCTGTCAAGGTCACAGATTAAAACTACACCTCCTTTAAAAATTAAAGAAAATCTTTTGCCAAGCTGAGCTGTTTTCTAACAAAATACTGCTGCCAGAATTGGATAAATCAAGAACTAACTTTTCGTGCTTCTTCATTTCATTCCCCTCTCGAGTTCACATTTTCCATTTGAAATGTGTCCCAGTGGTTCTACAATTTCACGCTGTTCTTCTATATGTTATTAAGTATTAAGAGTTTGATACTGTTGCATTGCAAATGAAGTTTTGCTGCCTCTAAACTCAATGGGACCAGATTTCTGTTTAATATCTAGCCTTGACAGAAAACAGCGTGTCCAGCCTTGTGTGAAAAGCTACATTTGGAAGTCTTACTGCTTTCTCAGGGTCTCACAAAAAGTCAGTGTTATGAATAGAGCTATAAAAAATGTCTTGCTGAGTAATTCTAAGTTCTAGATGACATCCTTCTCTAAATTCTGTATGTATAAAAACAGTTGTGTTTATAAACAGATGTACGGTGTTTCCAAAAGTGCATATGTGTGCTCTCTGGAATTCAAAGGGTTGCAACATAAAGAATGTGGTATTTCATTCAGCTGTTATTTTATTGCGTGCTATATTTTATGTTGTGTACCAACTGCACTTTTTTTCTCACCTATGTTCAATTAAGAACCAAAATTCTGTACGAGAAAAAAGAGACTCTAGTAAGAAATTAGAGTAAGCTTATCCATACTGAAGGAACAACCACCTTGATAATGACATTCTGAACTCTTCAGTCTCTGTTTGTGAATGCATAACTTTGTGCATACAAAAGAGGTATGGGTTTTGCCTGTGAAGGGCCAGATTCAAAGCTAACTCCAGTTAGTGGTAATATTCCACTGACTTCAGGAAACTTTGGAACAGCTTTTTTTTTTTTTTTTGGGGGGGGAGGTTGCATATAGCTTACATTTAGACAATGATATTGTTAGATTCCAGTAAATGGAAATCATATTTAGAAAAACGGATTATGCCATAGTCATTTCAGTCATCATATCATCTCCCTTGTTTCATTTTTAGAGACACGGCTAGAGTCAGTTTATAGGTAGAACCCTCAAAAACAGGTTTAATATATCTAGCCTTGCACACATTCATACTCACAATTCTTTGATAGTCAGATAAGGTGAAGCAGAGACTTGTGAGGACGTTGTATCACGACGACACCCACAATCCGTAAGGCCTGCTTCTTCATATTGGAAGGCCAAGCAAAAGAGACAGCAGTGAGAAGTGCACTCAAACGAACAGGAGTGGAGTGACTACATTGTGTTAAACTGATTGAATCATTCTACATTCTCTTTAGTATACTTACTCCACTTTCACACTGCTCAATATTTGTCTTTTCCCTCTGTCTGCATCCCTCAGTCCTGTCAAAACCTCTAAGATACACAAGGAACAAGGGAGGCAGAAGAATTAAGGGCACAGGGCCTCATAATCACAAGAAATTTTTTGTTTCAAGAGTCTGAACTGAAATCCTGCTAAATCAGCATAATACGGATTTGACACAAACAGAACAGTAGGCTAATTCTTGTAATAATTTTGTACCAGAAGCTCATAAACTAGCTTAGAAAAATATCTCTGAACAGAATGTTTCCTGAATCCTTTCTAACAATGTCCTCTTTAAAAGAATTCATTACCTGCAATTGTAATTTGTTTTCAGAGGTAGTGGTTTGCTAGTGCATGCCAGAAGGGAAATAATCCAAGTCCTCTAACTCTCCTAAGCTTCTTTAAACTTGACAAGACAATTCAGAAAGGAAGCCAAAGAGGAGAGGAATGCTAGCAAGAGAAAGCTGTGCCAAAGGCGAACTTTTCCAGTTGGAAGGGCTAGAAGGACCGGCTTTAGATTTTTAGCAGCCACTGATTTAAAAAAAAAAAAAAATGGGGGGAAGAAATTAAGGAATTGGGGAATTCTGAGAATGACGTTCTCTCCCCTTTACCACCATATAGAAGCTAAGAACAGAGAGTAATTCCTTAGCCAGATTTACTGCACTCAGAACACTTTGGAGAACGCGTTAGTCCCCTTCTCCATACTAGAAGACTGACCAAAGCACTCTGAAGCCCAGAGTGCTGTATTCAGAATGGTCTTAACGTTGTTCCTCTTCGTCTGCCTGAAAACATAGGTAGTCATATTCAAACATATAATAAGGGTACTTTAAAGTTAATCTACAAAAAACTCATGAAAACATTTTCAAAGTTAGAGGGACTACATGCCTGTTCCAGAATAGCATTCCCAAACAGTTACAATAGGATTCCCAAAGAGTTAAAATGCGCTCTGTGCACCTCCAGTCATCTTAATGGAATTTAAATGCCTTTGGGAGGCATTTTAAAGGCTCCCAGCACTGGAGAAGGTGCACTAAAAGGGGTTTCTCAGGAAGGCCTTACAGATTAGCTTTAAATCTTAGCAGCAACTCCGACTGAAGATACATCAACAGATTGGTGGAAGATTTTACTATTAGAAACAGGTAGCTGAGGAGCCAATGAATTGATGTGGGGGAAGATGATCACATTATAAATCAGACAATGGGAAAAAAGATCTCTGGAGAGATTCAGTGGGCCATGACAAGGGATAGAGGGAATTTGTGTTCTGCATTCAGTGAAAACCCCCAATTTTTTGGATGCTTGTCTGAACAAGGATGAGGTTTGGATTTTTAAAACTTATTTGGATATTTCTAGAACTTCATCCATAGTTAGCAGAAAGCCAATTTGCTCCTTCTTGCTGAATCACAGCCACTACCCCTGTAACTTGGTATCAGTTATCTTTTTAAGGAAAGAAGTTTTGGAGAACTTTGGCACAAACGGTACCTGGGGTAAACACACGGGGTTTCCAAAGTCTCTTTACAGCACTTGTACTCTTCCTCCTATCTCTCATTAAATAATTGGCTGCTAGTGTGAACATCTTGAAATCATGGGAAAAAAATCATGTAAACTGGGAGCTCCCAAGTGATTTGACAGAAGGTAATTTAGTACTTTGATATCCATCTTTGACGGGTGAAATCTGCATGTTCCCTGATCTCCTATGATAATAATTTGAGGGGGAAAATCTGGATATTCCCTGATCTCCTGTGATGATAACATCAATGGGATGTTTTAAGCCACCACAAAGAGAATTAAAAATGAATAAAGAATAAACTTTTGGGAACTTTCACTTGTCATAATTCAAGTACGTCTTTATGGGACATTCAGAAATTAAAGCCTATTAATTTTAGGATGGTCTGGTTGAACTCACTAAATTCCAGCTTAGATACTCTTTCTCAGAAACACAAGTAGCCTTAATTTTGATTTAGTTTATGACTATTTTTCTTTTCCCCCAAAATCATTACAGTTATTGATCCCCTGCTGGTCTAGATGGAGTGAGAAGATGGAAGGGGCTCAGTTAAGTATGCTGCACCCCATAGTGATTCAAGAGATTAAAGATTTCTATCTTAGTCAAACAATTTGAGTGAGTATTGTAAAGACGCTTACTGCGATCACAAGTTTCGGGCCTGCTAACATAAGCAGAAGGTTACCTGTTAGAACTTTCTTTAGAACTTTCTTACGCAGGTTTTTTAACCCTTAAGACATTTTTCACCCTTAACATATTTAAACCAGATAAGTCACTCTGTTGCACTTGCTGTTCCCCTGAAGGTGACAAGTAGACCTATTCTCTTAAGAATCTAGTCTGGTCACTCATATCACCTTATGACTCAGTTTGTTCACTTTGATTCCATACAGCTGAAAATTTCTTTAGCCTATTGATTAATTCACATTAAAGTTTCTCCCTCTTTCCTCTAAATAGGGATATATTTTGCGTGAGCAGGGTTTCTCTAAGCAGATATAGTCCATCTGCTTCTTTTATGGGTATAAGAAAAGCTAGAAAGGATTATTTTTCAGTCAAGAACCCATGTTCTGAAGGAATACCAGTACAGGTTTGTCAGCCTAATGCACCATCTCATGCCTCATAAAAAGGACTACTTCTCTTCTATGTCCATAGCTGCAAGCTTTTATAAGGTATTTTAAAGGGAATATTTAGTAGTTGAGTGGAGATAAAGTAATATTTCAGGACGTTTAGGACATCAGTGTGGTTTACACTGATTACGTCAGGATGAGCTGAAAAAAAGATCAGCACTAGGAGGCAGCAGAAAGCCTTAGAACCCTTCTTCAGACCTATTCCAAGAGCAGAAGTGACCGTTACCGCTCCTGAACGCAAAGGCTGGAGTTCAACATCGCTAATCTTCCACGGCATAATAAATAGAGGTAGTATTCTTTATTACCCTAACTAGTACACTTGGAAATAATCTCACTTAGCTTTTCAGGCCTATAAAACGGAAAACAGTTACACCACATACAAAATAAAGCTCATTTAGAACTTCTATTAATTATGAGATAGACAAAATAATGACATATCCTGGGCATGAACCTTACAAGTACTAACGTTGATCCACTAAAGGAAGCTGTAATAGCCGGCGTTCCCAGATGTTTGTATTTTTTTAGCATCTGGCAGCTTTACCTGTAGGAGGAGGGTGGAGCAAATTTGGTATGCAAATTCGTTCTCTATGGAGTCATTCTGGAGGATATTAAGTATTGACAGAATCATGTCAAACATCTTCACACCAAAGAAAAATGGATTTTTTTAATGCTCTGACATTAATAGCAGGAATTCTAGTTGCTTTTATATTACTGGTTGTAGTAGCAACTTATTCTGATCACTTCAAGGCAGAAATTCCTCCTAAAGTTGACCAGCCTTTAGGGCCCTACTTATATCATTGCTTATATACTCTGATGGAAATTCTGGTAAGTTTATCATGATCTGTGATAGCTGGGTTTTCAGGAAAGGAAAATTTTGGGTTAACTATGAGGGTATGCATTTAAATACTGCAATGTGTAATGGGAGCCACACACTAACAAACACAGATTGAAGGTAAAAGTTTAATGCGATATGTTGTTAGTGTATATAAAATCAGCCTATGGGAGGTGAGTTTTGCTCTTTTAAAAAAATTTTTTTTGCTGAGTTTTGCCATGTTTACACTGCAGTTATAACCTGATTGCTTTCTATAATGAAATGACCGTCCTGTGGATTAGAGGAGGGCACTGGATATCACTTAGCTTGATCTTAGGGTTCCCCATTGTAGTAACTGAAGCCTTCTGTATCTCAGTGCACTTTAATCTATTATTTGAGGTAATTTTCTAAATTTTGATCTACCTGTGGTAATTTTCTTGCCCTCCTCCCCAACCCTATCCCACCACGGTTCCTGTTTCTGCAGTAACTGGATCACTGCATCTTAGTGAAATATCACAGAATCACGTAGGTTGGAAAGGACCTCCAGAGGTCATCTAGTCCATCATCTAGTCCAATCTCATGGTCAAAGCAGGTTCAGCCAAAGCTATTATTGCTTATTATTATTTCACTTATTATTTATACCTGACTCACTCTGCTGTGTGCTTTGCAACCAAAGTAAGAAACAGCTCTTGCTCAAAAGGCTTTCAAAACAAGATAACAGAAGTAAGCAAGCGCAGCCTAACACTTATCGTGTGCTTGGCAAGACAGCACATCAAAAGGAATTTTGCAGGAAAACCACAGAGTGGTTTCATTAATGTTTTTGGGCGCTCATCTCAGGTAGAAGGATCCCCTAATCCCCAGGTTATACATAATGAACACAATAACTAAGGCCCACAACCTGAAAGGTGATTTGGGGCCCTATAATTCATTAAAGACTTAGGTGGGTTGCTTAAACTCACACAGCAACATGCACCAAATCAGGTAATTGACTCTGATTCTCTTATAGCCCAGGCCTGATTTATTTACTCTAAATCAAGCCAATCTGCCACTACCTTTCTATACTGTCTGGCACAAAGAAGAGTCTGCCATCCTGAACATCTCTCAGACTGCTCTTCATATTGAGCTCTATATAAACTTAATGATGTGACTTTATGTTATTAAATCCCATATATTTCTACACTTGGTTTGATGAAACGGTTCTTTCAGACGGTTCTTTTTACTTGCTTTTACAGCTTCTAAGTGGCTGCTCTACAACAGTATGCATTCTACCTTCAATTATAAAATGTTCCAGAGTTTTCAACTTCCGTTTCTGGATAATTTTACAGATAAATGCATTTCAGCATTTCTTACAAAGCACATGACGCTTTGTGCATTGCACACATGCAATGAGCATATCCTGCTCATTCTGGTGAGTGACGCTGCTGTTGTGCCAGTGACATATCTGTTGGTATCTACTGTCATGAATGTTGCAGTAAAGGCATGTAAAGTGACACATGTATGAGTTCAAGGCCTGATCTTGAAGTGTTTGAGGTTGTCATCCTATTTGCTTCTCTCTTACCTGGGTATTGAATCTCTCTCTCTTTCTCTCTCTCTCTCTCTTTTTTTTTTTCCTCTCCAACAAAGGGCTCTTTTTTGTTCTTTTCTTGCACTTTACTTGAGATAGCTCTTAGAAGAGCTGCATCAACAGTTAAATGTGTATCTTCTAGAGCACGGGTGTCATACATATACCGTCCTTGTTGTATCTATCCACACACTCTGTCATTAAGAAATCAGTGACAATGCCAAACAGAAGAGATGAGAGAAAGCCTAGTAACTCACATCTTAGCCTTTGTTTTACTACATTTATATGGATCTGCATTTACACTAACTGTGCATATTACACTATGATATAAAGCTTTGATGATAATTATTTTGGATGGCAAAGTGTAACACTTCAAGGGGACTGAGAAAGAGGTGCCGAATGTAGTCTTAAAGTCCATAAAGCTCAAATTGAATAGTTTCTGCTATCTGGTATGTGATTTGATAATTATTTTTAAAATAAGAGTCTGCTCACCATATGATCTTCCATGTAAAAATCCAGTTTGTGACAGAAGTTAGGCATTCCAGCTAATAGTTTTTCACAGACATTATTTTACAAGAAAAGTATGTGGACGTGCCAATTTGGGTCCTCTTTTTCTCACATATAACACATTTTAGCACCTGCCTTATATGATAAATTTCACCTACTAGGACTGATCACACCTGTTCAGGAACAGTCATACTTTTTGTTCTCGAGTGTATTGTTATTCATGCTGAAATACTTTGTAACTACTGATCAAGATGAAGTTTTTCAACAGAATACATACCAATTTCCTCATTCTCCTCTGTGGCAGCGTTTTCCCAGAATATGAAGATGCCTCTGGGACATCAGGAGCTCCTAAAATGAGAAAAGGAAGGATGATATTTAGAGAGAATGCTTTGATACTAAGTTTATCATATATATTACTAGGTGTGATCAGCAGGCTCTGTAAGAAACACAGGGATGTTAAAAATACAGATGAGATGTAATAAATACACCTAAAACATGCTATTGCAGTACTGTTAACTTCAACCATTCCAAAATCATCATTCTGAAAAAATACTGATTTAAGAGTTGTGACAGTTTTTGGTTTCATACATACAAGATAGCTGGGATGCTGCAGCTGAGAAAGTTCTGCCTCTTTGTCTTATTGTGGCATTCCTGCGCAGCAAAATTACTACCTAAGGCCAATATTTGTATTGTCTCCGAGATAAAGAGAACAGATCTAAATTAAAGGCCAGATACAAAAGGTTGCGAAGATCAATTTACAAAAGCATAGATGGCTATTAGTTTAGGAGGCACTGACTTAGTAGGTACATGTGGACTTTTGTTATCAGAAGAGGTGTGAACAATATAATTTGCAAATGGCTTGTGATGACTATCATCATTCCAAAAGAATGAATTGTAATAAACATAAGGGCAATTAAGTCAGCGTATAATAAGAAGGGAAATGTTGTCCCTGGCAGGGAATGCATCAGTTACAACCCGTGTTCAGGATCAGTGAGGATTCCAGTGTGATTTTGAGGCTACCTCAGTTATCACTAGTTGACTGGCCTCAAATAACAAAGAGAAAATGTTTTGACAAATTTGACAGATCTCCTCTGTTTTCAGAGTATCTTTTTTCCCTGATTAGCTGTGAGAAATTGGCTGCTGAGCCATTTCAAGAATACCTGTAGGATCTTGATGCTGGCAAAGGTTTCACTGATGGAGAAGGAGGTAAGATTCAGAACGGAGGTAAGATTCAGAACCATTCTCATCAGGTTCTTCATTTAGGCTGGCAGCACTTTGTTGGAGATTTTGAATACCACTGATATTCTTAAAGCTTGTTGTCATTGAACCTGTGGCAAGGACATGACCAAAGACCAGTAAGTAAAAAGTCTTGCATGCAAACTGCCATGAGTCTTTTTCTCCCGGTATACTGAATGCTGTCATCCTGGGCACTTTCATCCCACCTAACCTTAAATACTTTAATTAGAGGCATCTAAAGTAGATAGTCTCCCTCTATAATCAGTGGAGATGAATAGGTATCTCCAGAGTATGATTTAGCATTGTTGAAGCTGGAACTGCCCTCGAGAAACACTGTTTTCTCTTCATGGACTACAGAAGGAGCCTCAGGCCTTGTGACTCCCAACTTACAGACCTAAGCAAACACTTGATATTATTTGTGATAAAACCAGATCATAGTGATTTTATAAGTATTTATATAATACCTTTGATGAAACAAGTATTACAGCATTTTTCCAGAAATAACTGTATCTCAAATCACGGAGACGTACATTTTTACTTTCACAAGTGAAATCATAAAGTCATTAGAGTTATTTATGGTAATCCTATAGAGTAGCAAATGACCAATGCAGGTCTCCTAAATACAGAAGGAGGTAGACTTTATAAGGGTGGGAAGATGTGGGTTTCCTATCCTAATTTCTCATTTATCCTATTATGTCTAGGCAAAGAACTTAGAAAATTTGGGTATCTTTGAGGAGCATATACTTATACGGTTCATTTCGGATGGACTGCCAGCATGCAGGGATTCAAAGCTCTTCATAAAGGATCTACATTTTGGTGAGGTGCCAGTGAGGATTTACCTCCCAAGATTGCCATCTGCAAGCAAACGGAGAGGAGTCATCTTCTTCCATGGAGGTATGTGGGATATTTGGAAGCATCAGTAAGAAACTGAAAAGGAAAATATGATTATTTATGATTGCTAATTATATTTTTAAAAACCCTCCTGCATCTAAGAGGTACTTGAAGCTTAGTTTAGGAGAATGAGAGATGGAAAGCACTTTATCCTTATTTTTATCTACTTAATCTGCCCTTATTTAGTATCTACAATTATTTTTATAGGAAAGAGCATTCTTTATAGGATATCTACAGTAGGTAGCACTGCTGAATAAATTAAAAAATACTTTTTCATTTGAGAAACTTGGCAGAAGTTGTTAACTCCTGCATTCCTCTCTCTGATATGTAACTACAGCATGCTTACTGGCACTTCTATAAACTGTGTTCATGATAATTCAAGTGGCCTATAGCAGCTACTTTTAAATGTGTGGCAATGATGCATGGATGTTAGCTAAGTTGTCTTTACTCAGTTTAATTTATTAGAGAAAACAGATAAATCACAAACACGTAATTTAAGCAGTTCTAAAAGACACTGCTTTCACAGGCAGTAGACATGCACACATAATAAAAGTTATAGATTTGTAAGTTGAGGTAGAATACATCCCTGAGTAAATACCTGTAAACCAAATCTTCTAAATGTAGGAAATTCAGAATTAGGGTTGAAGGAAAACCCAATATATTTTTAAATAAATCAAAGCAGGCTTATTTCTACCCACAATCTCACTATGAAACAATTATATAATTAGACATTTTAACATAACATAATTTGGATGACTTGGTTTTCTGCTTAACTAGACACAGAGAAATATTCTGCTTTCTCAGGAAGCATACCTGCCATATCCTTTGTCCTCCAGGAAATAGTCAAATCTCTGCTTCAAATATTAAATTTAGACTTAGCTATAGTATCAGAATTAGCATTCCCACAGCAAAATGATATGACGTGCCTAAATAAGTCTCAGGCTCTCTCACAATTTATTTGAAATAATACAACAAGCTTTTGTGAAGGTCTAAGGCTATTTTATATCTTACAATCATTCTAAGCAATTGTGCACAATAATAACAACAAATAAAATCTTTATTTTCCTTACAGATCAACAATCTCCCTAAAACTATGGGCTTTACTGTGTGTCCTTATGATCAAAAATCTGGATTAATTTGATCCTAAGGGATCCTAGGGGAAATTGGGGAACTCACTAAAAAGGCAAGAGGCCCACACTGAGGATGTGGTACCAAATGTCCACTCTCTTTATTATGGAAGGTAATCAGTTATCTCCGTGGATCTCAATCGTGGAAATACGTCATAAGAAAAGGAGTGGGCACACTGCTTCAAGTATTCTAAGATATTAGAATCTAAGATATTAATTCCCTTAATAACATTTGTTCTCTAGGAAGCTATGAAAGAATATGCCGGTACACAGCCAGAAAATCTGATTCAGTGGTTGTGTCTGCTGGGTAAGTGAGCTCCACCCAGCGTTGGAAACGAGAATGAGAAATACTTGATACGGCTTTATAAAGAAAGAAGAGTAGTATATATGCCAACTATTTTCAGTAGAACAGAAAAACTTACATGCTTTATATTGTTATCACTATTGAAATGATTGCCTTTGTTCTTTAACAACAAATTATACGCTGTTTTACTGACTTCAGGTTTTTATATTTTAGGAGATTGTGAGGATAAAAAGTAATTAATAAATCTAAAATTTAATAATATTTTCCTTAAGCTACATGGACCACTGGTTCCTTTTAAAGATGGTTTGCTTACGGAAAATGTCTGAATGCATGAAGGAACTTTAGTTTCCAACAAATTCTGTGCAAAAATTCATTAGTTCAGGAAGCTATTTTGCCACTACAATAAATGAATAATAAGTGTCCGCAGTGTAAAAACCTCAGGAGCCAGAACTCAGTTGGATCTAGTGAGTAAGCAGGATTGACCTACAGCTTTACATCCATGCAAGGTTAGTGCAAATGGGAGAACCGCAGACTTTCCGGCTGGCCCGGCCTCTGATCTCAGAGGGATGCGCTCCGATAGACCGGGAAGTGAGCAAAGGTGTGGTGGCTTCCTGTAATGTGGATGACTGGACTGTACTACTCAAGCCCCCATGTTCTGTTAAACGATGCTAGAATAAAACTCCATGGTCCACGATCTGTGAATTCTGATAGAAATGGAAGAGGAAGCTGTTCTGCTTCCAGACCTTATCCCAAATAAATTTAAATAGGGCTATAAGCCCCCATTGCCCACTTCATGTGTAGCTCAAGTCTACGAAGAAACCAAAGAACTGTTTGAGACAACACTTTCCCCGCTGTTAGCAGAAGAGTCTGTTGTTTGCCGCCTACCCGATACCTGTATAGTTACCTGTGCGCATGATGTGCTCAGGGACGATGGACTGTTGTACAAGAAACGGTTAGAGGACAACAATGTAAAAGTGACCTGGTACCACATTGAAGACGGCTTCCATTGTGCCCTGGGTTTTTTTGGTTATAGTATATTCTCTTTTCCATCGTCAAATAAGATAGTGGACCATCCCGTAAACTTGGTATCAAAGGCTACTAAAATGCCTTACAGAATACAGTGAAGTATATTCTGTGGACTGCATGTATTTCAGTGATATTTATCGTATTTACTAGCTATCTGTATATTAGAACCTAGGCAAGAAATACTAAGTTATGATAGCAGAGTCTACTGAATTCTGATTTTCAATTGATATTAAATGGGAACATAACCTCCTTTTCTTCTTCCTTTTTTCCCCTCTAACTCATAAATTGCTATCCTTGTTTTGTTGTTTAGATAGTTTTGTTCTCTTCTTCTGTAAGTAAGATACGTCTAAGAAAAAACCTCATTATTAATATAGCAAAATGCATTTTAAAGTATGCAACACTTGAATAATTAGCAATGTGCATACACACATTCACATAACGCATACAAAATCAGTAGGATAATACGAGTATCTGAGACTGGCAACGCAGGAAGAGCGAGGGAGAACATAAACAAATGGAGCAAACATAACTGAATGTCCTTTAAACTACCTATAAAGTATTTTTCTGAAAAGCACTGAGTTGTATTCAGGGAACAGAGAGACATAGCGCTTTTTACCTTTTTGTAACCAGTTAAATAAATATTCAGCTTGTTTCCTTCACTCAGAACTTCAGGAGAAAATACAGAAAGAACACTGAAGCTGCTAAAAAAATTTCTGCTAATGTCCAAAACATGAAGGAAAAAACATCTCAGGTCAGTTGTTAACTTGCTCGTCAGGACAGATCCACCTCTGCTAAACACTGATGCCAGGGTAAGCGCCACGGCATGTCAAAATAGCTGGCCGTGTGAGGCCTAAGAGTTGTATAATATTTCATCACTGTTATGCAATCATTTTGCATTTGTAATATCTATGCATGTGCAAGTGTGGAAAGAGGTTAGTATATATCTTCACTCTGTGTCAGCCCAACTGTGAGTAGGAAGAAATTGGTGGGTTAAATTCTTAGCGTTATCACTGTATTAATTAAATGTGGTGACAAGTTAGCAGTTACAAATTGCTGGAGCAACAATTACTTGTGAATTCTTGTTCTCCCCTTCCTCCCAGCAAAATGAAATGATGTTTCTTCATGCTCTGTTGAGTATGTTGTTTGTTTCATTTTTCCTATTGCAGGTATTAGTCATTTACTCTTCCAGTGCAAAAAAATACTTCTGGGAGTAAATAACACGATAAAACTCAAAATGTTCCACTGCTTCAGGGAGTCGCTTTGGTAACGTAACCTGACGAGAAATTGGGAATTCACTTCGGTTTCTGACCTCAGGGTGAGCATTGGCAAACAAACTTATATGTTTGTAGCAGAAGCTAGAGCACCAGCGAGTCATATCTGCTATAAAGTCTATGCAAAAAGCTGCATTGCATTTGAGCAGTCAATTCACATCAAAGTCTGTTCTGCCAGAGCTATACTGTTATTTGTACATGAGCAAGCTGGCTCAAGGTTAGTTGCCTTCATGAACTTCAGACAAGCTCATGACAGTGACTAGGCATATCTTTGTCCAGGATCAATTTATTGCATGCATGGCTCTTTGTCTCTTCTGCACCAGGCTTGTTCTTTGGTCGATACCGACATTTTCTTTTTAAAGTTTCCTGAATGGAAGCTCCTCCTCCTGTCTGAAGCAAGGGAATTTCGTAACCAAACTGAACTGACACAAAAATCCAAAGGCCTTGACATACGTACTGTCAGTGACTGGGTCTTCCACAAAAATAAGAAAATAAATGTACGCATAAACCTGCATACAAATTAACAAAACTTACAGTCTCCACGCAAACCATCTTTTAGTGTCTGTTTCTCAAATCAGGCCTTTATAGACCTCAGAAAAGACACCCGAATCTAGCTAGGTTATAATCATCTCCTCTAAGGATAAACAGTCCTCAGGTTATTTGGTATTACTCACACTCACATAAACCCCCAATCCTCCATGCCAATTTGTTCGTGTAACTTCCCCATTAAATACGACTTATGCTTCGTTTTTCATCAAGAACCTTGAGATTCTTATCATCACCACCAAACCAATACAATTTTCATCTTTTTTCACATGCCATTTTGGTATTGTCTTCCTTTCTCCTCTACTTGATTAGCGTGCTATTCTACCCGTGCTATTCTCTTTCTCTGGCAGCCAGTTTACATTTTCATGCATGAAAATCCTGCACGTGCTGATCCCTTCCTGTGCAATCCCCCAAAGACATTATCCACTTCCCGCTTCAGCTCATTTTCAAGACTCTTTGATGGCGCTATTTGAGGCTATATGCGTTACCATGCATATGTAGGAAATTAAACAAAAAAGTAGCATCAAAAGTAATATTGTACCTTCATTTTCCATACCATTCTTGAGTCACATACTCTTTCTCATGACCCTTTTCGATGGTGACCTGTGCTCATAATTCAGCCTTACTAAGTTTCCTAAGATGTTTGAAAAAAGCTCACAGGCTTAGCAGAGCAGGCTTCATATCTTCTGATCCACTTGCGAAGCTCCTGTCCTGTTCTGTACCCTATCTGTGTAGAGAAAATAGCATCAATAAAATTATGGAATAATGGTATTGACTAACAACAACTGCAGCCTATGGTATTACATTGTAACATTCTTAATCCTCTACATCCTTTCAACATTTTGAAACCACAGCACAACTCATAATTAACTTTTGCAATAGCCTTTTGCCATTGGCAAATATCACGCAAATATCTTAGTGGCTCCAGCAAACCTCTCCAATACCCTGATACAGTGTACTCTAACTTCTCTCTCTTCCCACTGGCCAAGTAATGACTGTACTGAGCAAAAACTTCTGGGAGCTGCTTCACCTTTCTTGGTCCTAAATGATGGGCTCCCTGTAAAGCAGTCTCTTCCCCTATGCCATACCGGTGATCCACAGAGATATTTAGAGACAGACGATTGAAAGGTATTCCTTGTGTAGTCCCCTCCATTTTGAAACCCACTTTGCTGCTTGGTCATCAAAGTTGTTTTTGCTCTCCTTCCAAATATTTTGCAGAACTTATCTTTTTTCATCTCAAGTATTCAGTGACAGAGGCAGGTATAATTCTTTGCTCAACCAGGTGAAATCCATGCTGAGATGTTTGCTGGCGGCAGTGAAAAACTAATGTTATAGGGAAGCTCAGTATGTAAAACAATTTCTTATGATGGATTGTGCTAAAGTTAGGAATTTATTTGTGAAGCACCTGGGATTTTTAGAAAGCAGACTGTTTTGTTAGTTAACAAAAGGTGCAGGCACCAAATTACCTAACATTACAAAAATTGTGAAACCCTAATATAAATATATAACTGCATAAACCAACCAGATAAATGGTAAGATTTTGCATTTAGGTCCCGAGATGGTTCGAAGTGCCAGAATTAAGGATGTTCCGTAAAATTCCACTGTTTGTTATATGTTATGAAATGACCACACATGATCACATGCTATTTTACACACATCTCATTCAGTGCAACTCCCTGCCAATTTAGCAATCAAATACCTCTTTTCTCTTCATCATGCAAGGTGTCCCAACTCTGCATTGAGCATCGAATTAATTTCCTCTTGAGATTATTCCATGGCCCTTTATCTGCAGTCCTTAAATTAATTACAAATATTACTAAATTTATAATACTTCTGCAGTCTTATCATTGATATGTCTTGCTCATGTGCATTTTAATGTGCATTTAGACTGACAGTTATAAATAAGGTAGTATAGATATGTAAGTAGAGAGGAGTAGGTACTGAAGAAATGTATTCCTTCTTAATTTTATAGTAGTGACTCTAATATTTCCTAAAATTTAGAAAGTAGCAAAGTTAAATCATCTCCATGGAAGCTTCAGTCCCCTGATATATTTTTAATTAATTACAGATCTGCTATGTAAGATCTGTAGGATCTCTCATCTGTTCCTATGATGGGATTTTTGCTCATATAAAGGCACTTCATATTTTCCAAAGTGTGGAACTAAATTTTCAAAATTGTCATTCATTTAAATATTATTTTTCCTATTTTCTAGGGAAA